AGGGAGCGGCAGGCGTGGCGGATGCTGGACAGGGAGAGGGAGAGAGGAGGGAGCGGCAGGCGTGGCGGATGCTGGACAGGGAGAGGGAGAGAGGAGGGAGCGGCAGGCGTGGCGGATGCTGGACAGGGAGAGGGAGAGAGGAGGGAGCGGCAGGCGTGGCGGATGCTGGACAGGGGGAGGGAGAGAGGAGGGAGCGGCAGGCGTGGCGGATGCTGGACAGGGGGAGGGAGAGAGGAGGGAGCGGCAGGCGTGGCGGATGCTGGACAGGGAGAGGACGGAGAGAGGAGGGAGCAAGATGTGGTTACGTGATCATATTACAATAACACAATAATCGTTGCAACTACTCTAAACAAATGTCAACTCACACCAGACAAACATTGACACACATCATTTCTCTAATATCCCACTCACCTTTATAGTATCCCGCCATCTGTTATGTACATGCACACGCACACACACGCACGCACACACGCACGCACGCACGCACGCCCACCCCCCACACACTAGCACGCGCGCGCAAACGCACACACGTGCATGCACGCACACACCCACGCACGCACACACACGCGCATGCACGCACACACACGCGCATGCACGCACAGACACGCGCACGCACCCCTGACCGCACACACAGCAGGTGCACGCACACCGAACATTTGCATGCAGTACACGTACAGCGAGCACATTGTGTGATTTCACGTGTGAACGACGCTAAACACTAGTGCGCAGCACGTATCCACAGCGACCTACCTCGCATCCAACACACACACGACATCATCCTCCCTCCCCCCAGCCCACAACACTGCCTCCCCCGCCCCGCCACGAGGGGAGGTAGGGAGGGTGGCGGCGGGCTTACCTCGGCATGGTGCTCTTCGTTCTGTTGGAGAAGGTCGATGCAGAGTTCCGACAGGTGCATCAGGTCCTCCAGCCTCTTCTTCGGCGACTCGCACAGCTCGTGGCTCTCTGTGGTAGGTGCGCACGACGTCATTAGCCAGGTGCGCGCGAGATGTCGTTAGTCAGGTGCGCGCGAGATGTCGTTAGTCAGGTGCGCGCGAGATGTCGTTAGTCAGGTGCGCGCGAGATGTCGTTAGTCAGGTGCACGAGACGTCGTTAGTCAGGTGCGCACGAGACGTCGTTAGTTATGTGCGCGAGATGTCGTTAGTCAGGTGCGCACGAGACGTCGTTAATTATGTGCGCGAGACGTTGTTAGTCAGGTGCACGAGACATCGTTAGTCAGGTGCGCATGAGACGTCGTTAGTTATGTGCGCGAGACATCGTTAGTCAGGTGCGTACGAGACGTCGTTAGTTATGTGCGCGAGACGTCGTTAGTCAGGTGCGTGCAAGACGTCGTTAGTCAGGTGCACGTGAGACGTCGTTAGTTATGTGCACGAGACGTCGTTAGTCAGGTGCGTGCAATACATCGTTAGTCAGGTGCGTACAAGACGTCATTAGTGAGGTGCGCACGAGATGTCGTTAGTTATGTGCGCGAGACGTGGTTAGTCAGGTGCACGAGACATCGTTAGTCAGGTGTGTGCAAGACATCGTTAGTCAGGTGCACGAGACATCGTTAGTTAGGTGCGCATGAGACGTCGTTAGTCAGGTGTGTGCAAGACGTCGTTAGTCAGGTGCACGAGACATCGTTATTCAGGTGCGCATGAGACGTCGTTAGTTATGTGCGCGAGACGTCGTTAGTCAGGTGCGCATGAGACGTCGTTAGTCAGGTGTGTGCAAGACGTCGTTAGTTATGTGCGCGAGACGTCGTTAGTCAGGTGCACGCGAGACATCGTTAGTTATGTGCGCGAGACGTGGTTAGTCAGGTGCGCAAGAGATTCGTTAGTTATGTGCGCGAGACGTCGTTAGTCAGGTGTGCGCGAGACGTCATTAGTTATGTGCGCGAGACATCGTTAGTCAGGTGCGCAAGAGATTCGTTAGTTATGTGCGCGAGACGTCGTTAGTCAGGTGGGCGCGAGACATCGTTAGTTATGTGCGCGAGACGTGGTTAGTCAGGTGCGCAAGAGATTCGTTAGTTATGTGCGCGAGACGTCGTTAGTCAGGTGGGCGCGAGCCGTCGTTAGTCAGGTGTGTGCAAGACGTCATTAGTCAGGTGCGCACGAGACGTCGTTAGTTATGTGCGCGAGACGTGGTTAGTCAGGTGCGCA